CACAGCTCCAGGACCCCCATAACCCCCCAAAACACCCCCAGGACCCCCATAAACCCCCCAAACACACCCCAGACCCCCTGCCCAGCCCCTCACCGGCGCTGTTGGCCTCGGCCTCGAGCAGGTGGATGTCGGGGCAGTCGGCCAGCGAGTGCTCGAGGCACAGCTGCAGGAAGCGCGCCTGCGTGCGCGTCACGCGCTTCAGCAGCGCCAGCAGCGCCACGGTCTGCTCGCACTCGCTCCAGCCGCGGAACCAGCCCGCCACGATGCCCACCTGGTCCCGGAACATCATGGCTGGGTGGGGAAAAAGTGGGGGGAAAAACGGCCCTGCCCCCCCTCAGGTGGCGGGGGGGCCCCCCCGGGCCGGGCAGCGCATGGGGGGTGTCAGGGCGGGGGGTGCCGAGGGGCCCCCCCGGGATGGGAGCGCGGCTGAGGGTCCGGAGGGTCCTGTGGGGAGAGAGGAGGGGTCAGCGGGGATACTGGGGGGAGAGACCCCCCCCCCCAGGAACAGGGGAAGGGTAGGGGACAGAGAAAGACCACCCCCCCGGGATGGGAGCGCGGCCGAGGGTCCTGCGGGGAGAGAGGGGGGGTCAGGGGGTACTGGGGGGAGCTCTGGGTGGGGAGAGACCCCCCAGGAACAGGAGAAGGGTGGTGGACAGGGACCCCCAAAAGGTGCTAGAGACCGCCAGAAGGAACTGGAGACCCCCTAAGGGCATTAAGAAACCCCAAAAGGCACCAGGGACCCCCAAGAGAAGCCAAGGACCCCCAAGAGACACCAGGGACCCCCAAAAGGCACCAAGGAGGCCTCACCCCCCTAAGGATCAAGGACCCTCCCTCAGGGACAGAGACCTGCCGTTTTGGGGGGACAGGGACCCCCAAGAGGAACCAGGGACCCCCATGAGGCATTAGGGACCCCCAAGAGGCAGCAGGGACCCCCAAGAGGCAGCAGGGACCCCCAAAGAAGCCTCACCCCCCTGAGGATCAAGGACCCTCCCTCGGGGACAGCGACCCCCACAGGGCACCGGAGCCCACCCCTCACGGTGACAGAGACCCCTGAGGGTGAGCAGGACCCCTCACGGTGACGGGGACCCCTCACGGTGACGGGGACCCCTCACGGTGACCGGGACCCCTGACGGTAACGGGGACCCCTCACGATGACCGCATCCCGGATCCATCCCGAATCCATCCCGGCTCCATCCCGGATCCATCCCCGATCCATTCCCGGATCCCGGATCCATTCCCGGCCCCATCCCGCTCCATCCCGGGTCCCGGATCCCTCCCCGATCCATCCCCGATCCATTCCCGGTTCCCTCCCGGTTCCCATCCCCCATCCCGGTGCGCCCCCCGCCATCCCGGCCCCTCTCCCCCCACCCCATCCCACTGGTCCGTACTGGCCGGTCCCTGTCCCCGCAGGCCCCACGGCGACGCCTGGACAGGACCAGCATGGAGCCCTGAGAGGAGGTACTGGGACAACTGGGAGAACTGGGATCACTGGGGTCTAACTGGGACAACTGGGATCTAACTGGGATCCCACTGGGATCTAACTGGGATCCGTTGGGATCTAACTGGGATCACTGGGATTTGGTGCTGTGGGATCTCGTGGGACACGCCGGATCTGCTGGGATCCGTTGGGATCTGCTGGGATCTGCTGGGCTGTGTTGGGATCTCCTGGACCCTGCTGGGATCTGCTGAGATCCACTGGGATCCTCTGGGCTGTGCTGGGATCCGTTGGGATCTGTTGGGATCTGCCGGGATACTCTGGGACCCGCTGGGATCTGCTGGCCTGGGATCCGCTGGGCTGTGCTGGGATCCGTTGGGATCTGTTGGGATCTGCCGGGATACTCTGGGACCTGCTGGGCCCTGCTGGGATCTCCTGGGACCTGCTGGGATCAACTGGGATCCGCTGGGATCTGTTGGGATCCGCTGGGATCTGCGGGAAACCTCTGAGACCCTCTGGGCCCTGCTGGGATCTCCTGGGACCTGCTGGGCTGTGTTGGGCAGTGCTGGGATCTGCTGGGGTCTGCCGGGATCCCCTGGGATCCACTGGGATCCTCTGGGCTCTGCCGGGCTCCCCCGTGCCCCCCGTGACCGCGCTCTCGGCCCCGCGCTCTCGGCAGGCGCGGCCGCGGGGATGGCGAAGCTGCTGGTGCCGCTGGTGATGCTGGGCGCCGTGTCCGGGCCGGGGGTCCCGGCGTCGCCGCCGTCGCCGCGCTGCCCCCCGCGCTGCCTGTGCCCCGCGGCCGCGCCCAGCCCCACGCTGCTGTGCGCCCGCACGGGGCTGCTGGCCGTGCCGCCCAGCCTGGACCGCGGCGCCGTGGAGCTGCGCCTGGCCGACAACTTCATCGGCGCCGTGGGCCGCGCCGACTTCGCCAACATGAGCAGCCTGGTGCACCTGACGCTGTCGCGCAACGGGCTGCGCCGCCTGGCCCCCGGCGCCTTCGCCGACCTGCGCGCCCTGCGAGCGCTGCACCTGGACGGCAACCGGCTGCCGGCGCTGAGCGGGCCGCAGCTGCGCGGGCTGGCCAGCCTGCGCCACCTCATCCTGGCCAACAACCAGCTGGCCGCCATCGACGCTGCCGCCTTCGCCGCCTTCGCCGCCACCGTGGAGGACCTGGACCTGTCGCACAACAACCTGCCGGCGCTGCCCTGGGACGCCGTGGCCGCCATGGGCAGCCTGGCCACGCTCACTCTGGACCACAACCTGCTGGAGCGCGTGCCGGCCGGCGCCGTGGCGCGGCTGCCGCGCCTGGCCAGGCTGGACCTCACGGCCAACCGGCTGCGGGCGCTGCCGCCGGTGCCGGGGCCGCCGGGGCCGGCGCTGGCGGCCGGGGGGAACCCGTTGCACTGCAACTGCGAGTTGCTGTGGCTGCGCCGCGTGGCTCAGCCGGGCCGCCTGGAGACCTGCGCCACGCCGGCGCCACTGGCCGGGCGGCTGCTGGGCGCCGTGCCCGAGGAGGAGCTGACCTGCCGGGCCCC